TGGCCTCCCAAAGTGCTGGGGTTACATGCGTGAGCCACCACACCTGGCCCAAATTGTAAATAGGATGAAAAATGTATGTGCCAGCAGCATGGGAACTAAAAATACCTATGATGATGTAAATGTAAACATAAAAAAAAGGGGGAAAATGTATATATACAACTTTTTTAAAAAGGCAGTTGATACGATGAGATGTTACTCTTAAATTCTGTTCCCCAAAAAGGGTATGTTGAAGTCCTAGACACAACCCCCAACAAATTATCGATGTGAGTTTTTGGAAATAGGATCTTTACATGTGTAATCAAGTTAAAATGAGGTTATACTAACTTGTGGTGAACCCTAGTCTGCTAATTTTTTTTTTTTTTTTTTTTTTTTTTTTTTGAGATAGAGTCTTGCTCTGTAGCCCAGTCTGGAATGCAGTGACGAAATCTCGACTCACTGCAACCGGGTCCTGGTTCAGGCAATTCTCCTACCTCAGCCTCCCAAGTATGTGGGATTACAGGCATAAGCCACCAAGCCAAGCTAATTTTTGTGTTTTTTAGTAGAGATGGGGTTTCACCATGTGGGCCAGTCTGGTCTTGAACTCCTGACCTCGTGATCTGCCCGTCTCAGCATCCCAAAGTGCTGGGATTCCTGGCGTGAGCCACGGTGTCCAGCCTGACTAATGTTTTTATAAGAGGGAAATTTGGGCACTGGCACACAGGGGAGAAGGTCATGTGAAGACAGACAGAGTGCAATGACGCATCTACAAGTTAAGAAATGCCAGGACTGTAGGCACCCATCAGAAGCTATGAGAGGCAGGGAAGGATTCTCTCCAGGTGGCTTTGGAAAGAGCATGCCCCAAAGGCGCCTTGATTTTGGACTTCTGGAGTGCAGTGGCAAGATCTCAGCTCACTGCAACCTCTGCCTCCTGGGTTCAAGTGATTCTTCTATTTCAGCCTCCTGAATAGCTGGGACTACAGGCGAGCTGGGACTACCAGCATGCCCGGCTACTTTTTGTATTTTTAGTAGAGGCAGGGTTTCACCATGTTGATCAGGCTGGTCTCAAACTCCTGATTTTAAGTGATCTGCCCACCTCAGCCTTCCAAAGTGCTGGGATTATAGGTGTGAGACACTGTGCCTGGTTTGAGAGACTACATTTCTTTTTTTTTTTTTTTTTTACTTGAGACAGAGTCTGGCTCTGTCACCGGGCTGGAGTGCAGTGGCACAGTCTTAGTTCACTGCAATCTCCACCTCCCAGGTTCAATTGATTCTCCTGCCTCAGCCTCCTGAGTAGCTGGAATTACAGGCTGAACCACCATGCCCCGCTAATTTTTGTATTTTAGTAGAGAGGGGGTTTCACCATTTGGCCAGCCTGGGGGATTCCTGATCTGAAGTGATTCACCTGCATCTGCTTCCTAAAGTGATGGGATTACAGTGGGAGCCTCTGCACTCCACCTTAAAGAGATTTAATCCATCAAATACTGTGGCTAATTTCCTGTTAACAAACATGCTATATAGGAAAACAACAACATTTCCCTTTTCACAATCAGATCCACAGCTTGTATATTTTATCCCGGGCTGCCTCTAAATTTGTCTCATTCATATCTTATATCCTCTTGTTTAACTGTCAAATCCTATGTTCTGCATGAAATATATGAATGACTTCTATTACTAATCATGCTTGTCTTATTTGTCATTGTGATTCATATATAGATATACATATATATACATTTTTCTTTTTTGTTTAACACTGACACATAAATGATCAGATGTGCACTGTCATTTTTTAACTTGTTTCATGAGAAAGGATTATGTTTTTTATTATTATTTTTGAGACGGAGTTTTGCTCTTATTGCCCAGTCTGGGAGTGCAATGGCGGGATCTCGGCTCACTGCAACCTCTGCCTTCCAGGTTCAAGCAATTCTGCTGCCTTAGCCTCCTGAGTAGCTGGGATTGCAGGCATGGGCCACCATGCCCAGCTAATTTTGTATTTTTAATAGAGACGAGGTTTCTCCATGGTGGTCAGGCTGGTCTCAAACTCCCAACCTCAGGTGATCCCCCCACCTCAGCCTCCCATTGTGCTGGGATTACAGGCATGAGCCACCGAGACTGGCTTAGCTAATAGTTGTTTAAAATGTCATTTTTACCAGTCCTACTTAAAAAAAAAAGTAGGGAATTCTAATGTTTCATGATACATTTTTATTTATTATTTTGTTTGGTCAAATATCTCCATGTTTATATTGTTGCAAGCCCAAGCCCAACATTAAATGATACCTCCTTTTTTCAAAGGGTATACAGTTAAGAGATGTTATTCACTCTGCTTCTAGCTTTTTTTTTTTTTTTTTTTTTTTTTTTTTTTTTTTGAGACGGAGTCTCACTTTGTTGCTCAGGCGTGGAGTGGCTCGATCATAGCTCACTGCAACCACCTCCTCCTGAGCTCAAGCAATCCTCCTACCTCAGCCTCCTGAGTAGCTGGAACCACAGGTTGTACTTTTGTTATCTGTAGAGACGGGGTTTTGCCACATTCCCCAAGTTGGTCATGAACTCCTGGACTCAATCGATCCTCCTGCCTCCACCTCCCAGTGCTGAGATTACAGGCGTCAGCCACCATGCCTGGCCAATTCTCTTTAGAGAATGTTAGATCTACCATAGGGTTTATGGACCATCTCAAATCCCAAATCTTTAAAAGTCTTCTATATCATCCAACTAACTTTGACACATTTCCGAAGCCACCTCCCCCACTTCTTTCCACTCTTTTCCTCCTTGCAAGCTGAATTTGCAATTCCCTAAAAAGCAGAGTTGCCTAAGATTTGTATCCAGTATGGGTCACGTGACCAATTCTTTTATAATGAAAATGTTAGAGGATGGGATTAACATACCTTTTGTAGGTAAACAATGTTATGATTTACTTTTTTGGGGGGTTGTTTTGAGTATATCACTGCATTTCAGGGTGTGTGATTTGAACGGCAGAAATTTAATGATTTATGCAACCAAAAAGTTAACGTTGTTCCTGAGGATTAAGTCAGTTAAAATGAGCCCGGAGTGATTTCGCTAATACCACCTGGGGATCATAGATTTCAAGGCAGCATCTCCACTGTGCTTCCCGTGTCTCATAATAATTACTGAATTCTGTCCATTCTGGTTCCTTTGTATATACCCCACTCAAAAACACCCAACATCAGCCTCGAATATAGTGTTATCCATACCTTCAGCAGGACCAAGCCATAAACAAATATTTGCTGGCTTGTGTTGATTGAATGATTTAAGATAAATAAACAACCTCAAATGCCTACTGAGGCCAGCGAATGTAAATGGCGAAAGCAAACAGCAGGGAGTGTGGTGAACAAGATCACCTAAGTTTCCTCTAAAGGGTGTGGCTTCGACCACACTCCCAGCCCATTCTGCACTTTTGGAAAATGGATCACAGGTTGTCAGAGCTTCTGGTTTTCCAAGAGATGCTGGGATCGTGGCTTTTAACGCAATCCTCAATTTTTAAAATGTTAGTAATCAATTCACATTTTTGCACTATATTTTGAAGGCCAATACTGTAAACCAAACACTTCTAGGGGGCGCATGCAACCAATTTGCAATCTTTCCATTAAACAGCACAGCTAATATGAAAACACACATTTTTTTCCTTTTCTTTTCTGAGGCAGAGTCTTATTCTGTCGCCCAGGCTGGAGTGCAGTGGCGCGATCTCGGCTCACTGCAACCTCCGATTCCCAGGTTCTAGCGATTTTCGCGCCTCAGCCTCCCAAGCAGCTGGTACCACAGGCGTGCGCCAAGGCTGGCTAATTTTTTGTATTTTAGTAGAGACGGGGTTTCACCATATTGGCAAGGCTGGTTTTGAACTGCTGGCCTCAAGTGAACCAGCCTCCTCGGCCTCCCAAAGAGCTGAGATTACAGGCGTGAGCCACCGTGACCGGAGGAAACACACATTTTTCAAGAAACTGATTGCTGGGAAGGCTACAGTGGGAAAGATCTCTTGCTTTCTGTGAGCCTGCGTGGGTTCGGATCAGGGCAGTGCTCTCTGCCTATGTGAACTTGGGCAATTTTCTATAAATCTGTCTCTGCACCCGTAAAGTAGCGACGGTCACATGCCAAAGCCCTTAGCACGGAGCGACTCCGGATAACCGTTAACTATTCCTAATTACTCCTCTTCATAATAGTAGACTTCCTCAGGGCCTCGCCAAATGTTGTATCAATAATTTCACGTTCCCAGGTAGCTCATCCCTCCCACAAAAGATCTGAACGTTTTCCATATGATAATGATCCACTCGTTTTTGCTAAACATCCAGAATAGGCGATATCGACCTATCTGGAAGAACACACACAAACCCCTTCCCAAATCAAACACCAAGTTCTTTCTGGCTGGCACCAGGGCTCCCATTCGCAGTGACTTCCTGGGACCCCGCGCTTTCTCACAGGGCCTCTGGTATCTCCTCTGCCGCGATTAATGTTCTCATTTCCCTTCCCTGTTACTGCGCATACTCTCCAAGTTCGAAGTTTCCTTTTCCAATCTCTTTCCGGGGCTTGTTTACCCAAGTCTCTCTCTAATTGTCCAGGCGCCAGGTCTCTTCCCACCCACCAGCTTTCCTCTTGGGAAAATCCTTCTCCTCCCGCCCCTCCCAGCTCCCGCCACCACTGCCGCCTCCGACGTCCAGCGTTTGCAGATGCTCAGGCCGACCCCCTTCTCCTCCCACCCCCGTTTTGTAAGGAAGTAATTTGGGGCCCAGCAGGGTCTCGCCCGCCGAGCGCTCAGCATCCCCCGCCGCGGGTAGGCGCCGCCGCGGGTCTGGAGCGTGTCTCGGCAAGCCGCGCTCCACTGGAACTTCCCCGCCCGCCCGAACTTCCGCGCCAGGCGGGACCCAGTGTTCGCTTGAAAAACGCAGTTCGTGGGGCCGGGACAGGGGCGGGGACAGGGGGCGGGACCGGTGTCGTCTCCCTACGTCACCAGGGAAGTCCCCCGCGGGAACAAAAGCGCGGTCTCTGGCGCTGGGACCTCAGAAGTTCCCCGGCACTCACGGAGTGCGCTCGTCAGCTCCGCGCGTCCGGCCACCCGATCCCGCCACCCGATCCCGCCACCCGATTCCGCTACCCCAGCCCGCGGGTCTGTTCCGTGCGGCTCGCGTCTTGCGGACGTCCGAGGTGCCCCGGGCGAAGGCTGAGGCTCCCGGGCTCCGTAGCTGAGTGGCGGCGGCACCGGCAGAGATGCCTGGGAAGAAGGCGCGCAAGAGCGCGCAACCGAGCCCCGCGCGGGCTCCAGCAGGTACCAACCCGCTGGGGCCCGCGGAGACTCAGGCCGGGCGGGGTCGGGGCCGGGGTCTAGGTCTTGGTCGGGGCGGGCTCCGCCCGTCTGGGCTCGGGCACACACTGTCGGGGGCCCAAAGTCGGGCCAGGTCTGTGCCCGGGCGCCAGCCTTAGGGGTGCCTCCAGGAAGTTCTTCAGGGGTTTTCCCCAGCCTCACAGGGACGGCTAGGAGCCGAGCCCTATTTGGGATTGGGATGTAGCTGCGTTTCATCGGCGACAAAAAGCTCCTCGGCGCCTCTCTTTCCTCCTCCGCACTTGCCCTTCCCCGGGGCCAGGAGGAAAGCAAGTGCAAGTGTATGCGGCCGCCTGTAGGAGAAAGTCATTGTCGCGGCAGAAAGGGCAGGAGAGGGCTCCGGGGACCGCCTGGACTCCCGATGCTTCCAGAGACGGCCCCACAAGGGCCCCTGTGTTCCGGAGCTTAGACAATCTAATAACCTTTAAATAGTCGATATTCTGGGAGGTGGGGATAGGTGACTAGGAGTTGATCGCTCCCTTTTTTCATTCATCCATTTCCACTCCACATCCCCATTCACACTTTTCAGGCCAGCCGCCCCCCCCGCCCTCCCACGGCGTCATCCTTTTTTATAAATCGAATAAGAGAACCCAGTCATCTGCCCTGGGCCCGAAATCTCCGTGGGGCCGTACTGCTGTTGCATCAGACGATTAGACGCCCCCGCCCCCCCCCCCTTTTAAGTTACTTTCATTTTATAGAGCTCGTGGGGCGTGCAAAGGAAGTGGTGCATTGCAAATGTGCCCATGCCCAAGTTGGTAACAGGCTGCTGTCTCTGCCTGTTGTGTAAGACGGACAAAGCTTTGTCTACATTTTGTGATGTCCAGGAATTCTGACCATGTTTCTTGCCGAAGGATCTGACCTGTGAATAGCACTTTGTGGTCTGACTTAATTCCCAAGAACAAGAAACAGCACAAAGTCTCTCTTAAACTTGATTTGATACTAATACGTTTATAGGTAACTGCGATATTTAAGAAGTTAAGGAAAAAACTGGGAGCTATTTTCTGCATTTTTTTCTACTTTTTTGGTGAAACGAATACAGGACTTCCAATGTTGGATGCTGAATGGTATTGGTTTTTCTTTTTTTCTTTTAGAACTGTGTATTAATATATCTCAATCTCTGTAGACAACATGTGTATGTAAATTATTCTTATATAGGCTGGGTGCCGTGGCTCAAGCCTGTAATCCCAGCACTTTGGGAGTCTGAGGCGGGCGGATCACGAGGGTAGGAGATCCAGACCCTCCTGAGTAACACGGTGAAACCCCATCTCTACTAAAAATACAAAAAATTAGCCAGGCGTGGTGGCACGCGCCTGTAATCCCAGCTACCCGAGGGGCTGAGGAAGGAGAATCGCTTGAACCTGAGAGGTGGAGGTTACAATGAGCTCAGATTGTGCCCTCTCAAACAACAACAACAACAACAACAACACCACAAAACTTCACAAAATGTTTGATCCTGTAGCCCATAAAGAATAACCTATAATGAGATTTATTACGTCTCTTGGTGTAGGGGTTAGGAAGGATTTCAGTCAGCTCTTGTAGAGAGAAATTAGTTGAAATGTAGGTTTAAAATTTTGCTTTACTATATGTTTACAGTTATTTATTTTGAGCCTAAATGTGGTCTTTTCAGGGTCGATTATAAAATAGACCATATTTTAATTTGTAATCATGATTTTTAATGTATATAATCATGAAGTAGACCCAAAAGACCTCAAGCTGCTCTTTGAAATAGTTAAGAAAAATTGAAATTATAGTCAGTATAGGTATGATATTATAGTCAGTATAATGTTAATTGCACTTACTGAACAAAGTGTACTTGGAAATTATAAGCATTATTTTCTTAATATTCATTTAGAATAACTTAATTTCAAAAAGTAGTAAACATGTGAATTAGAAACATTACTTATTTCCTGCTCCTCATTTCCATAAAGGCAATGGATTGGTACAGAACGGGGTTGTAGGAAGAAGTGGGTTTACATTAAAACAGAAATATTTAAATTATTTTAGAAAATGTAGACTTAATTTTAGAATAAGATTTTATGAGTCTTTTATGAGAAAATAGTTTTTTTAATGAGAAAAAGAATACATTTAGATTTGCCTGTATAATGAGAGTATAACCTAAGTTGTAAATTATTGCCATTTGAAAACCAAATCCTACTTGAAATCCACACAGAACTTGACTTCTGTTCCCCAGCCAACCTTAAATGAAAGCTAAAAAGATGACATCATCTGAGGCTGGTAAAATGACTAATGTTACTCTTTGTAGTATTTGACATATTTGAAGGTAAGGAAACACTTGCCTCATCCAGGATGCGTTTAAAAAAAATTCAAAGTAAATGTCTTTATTCTTATCCTATGGATTGCTGTTGGTGAGTCACAATGTGTTTGTGTGAGTGTGTCACATTTGGAAAACAGGTGCACATAAAGCCGAAGTTAAGAGAAATGCTTCCTGGGATACTCAGTTTGTCACTAGTGTGGGCATGTTAGGTCTTGCTGGTTACAGTTGGTAATATTATCAATGTTAATGTCCGTGTTTTGCTCTCCTTCTCAGACCTTGAAGTCGAGTGTGCCATTCAACTCAGGAGATTTGGAGACAAACTGAATTTCCGGCAGAAACTTCTGAATCTGATATCCAAACTCTTCTGCTCAGGAACCTGACTGCATTAAAACACTGGCATGAGGGGACTTCTTCAAAAGAGAAGTTTTCTCAGGAGGTGCACATTTCATCAATTTGGAGATTGCAATTTGAAGATTGAATTGTAATTGAGAGGAGTGTGAAGAAGCATTCGCGAGTGCCCTTGGAAACAGAAGATGGAATGCATCAAAAATGAATTTCTGTTGGCGATTTCCCAGATTATCATTTGTTGGGATATGAGAATGTTATAAAACGACTTTGTTTATTTTAAAGCAAGAACGAGAGACCCTTGGAAATAGGGAAGTAATGATTGATACATTTCTTTTTTACTTAGATAATTGTTCTAGTGTTTTTGTTGAAGATTATTGCTGGCCTGGTGGAAAGGGGATGATCCATGATTAGACTCGGTGGCTGGGAAGAAAAGTTCAGTGCTTTGTTGTCATTGCTGTTTTTGGTATTTTGCTTTTCAGTACCAACTCAGCAAAATGTATATAATTTGGTTTATACATATTACCTTGTTATAAGGAAAAAAATTTATTCTGAGAACACTGAAATGTCATAGTGAATGTTGATTTCTTAGGTCACTACACAATGTGAAAGAATTTGTTTCCTTTGGCTCAAATTGTATTGCTTCTGTTGAGATGATCATTCACTGTGTTCCTGTTGGAAACTATGGAAAACTGGAAAATAACTTCGAAAAAATTGGATAGAAGTATAGGAGGTTACTTGGGGCTAGTATATTGGTAGACTGAACATTCAATATAATAAAAGAACATGGGGATTTTGTATAACCAGGGATAATAAAAAGAAAAAAGTTGATTTTTAATTGATGTTATTAAAACTTGACTTGATGAGAAGTGAATGGTTCTAAAGAAGTTTCTAAAATTTGGAAAATGCTCCTTGTCATATTAGTGTGCATCCTACAAAAAGTGATCTTTTAATATAAATTAAGAATATTTTCATAATTGGAATATGCTTTTCTTAAAAAGAGGAACAGATTGTTCTCATCTAGAATGAAAGTTCCACATATGCATTGGTGCATATATGTCTGCATATACTTACATATTATATGGATATCTGTATGGATAATTTGTATTAGAGTATTATATAGATTCTTAGAAGGGTTCAAATAAGTTTCATTTTTTTATCTGGTCTATATACAGTCCTCAAATACATAAAAAATATGATTTTATTTCAGCAAAAATAATTTTATTTATTTTGCCTATTTATAATTAAAATATTTTTTAGTTTGAAGATGTATATTGAAGTTACATTTTTAAGTTCCAAAGGTCTTATAGCTACTTGAATTTTTAGTTAAAATGTCTTAATGTAGGTTATAGTCACTTTAGATGGAAGATTACCTCACATCTCTTTTCTTCAGTATTACTTAAGATTGTCTATTTGTTGCAGAGATTTTTTTTTTTTCAGCCTAGAGGCAGATATCTTACCATCTGGGTATTTATGGTCTAACTTGTATTTAAACGTATGTACACATATAAAAGTTGATACTGTGGCAGTAAACTGTTAAAAGCTTTCATTGTTCTTTTCTGTGTGTTCATTTCTTCTTCATTCTGTAAGCTGTTAAGTGTTCATTACCAAGCCAAAGTATTTTAACTGATTTCCATCAGCAGACATCCACTGACCTTCTGACGGCACTGTCTGCTTCCAGCAGTTGGAGTAGAAAATACAGGGGAATTTGCATATTTCTGCTGTCAAGGGACTTACACTTTAATTGGGAGGGGAAATAGTGAAAAATAGGAAATGAATGCCAGGAATAGGTCTTTTTTTTTTTTCTTTTGAGACAGAGTCATGCGCTGTCGCCCAGGCTGGAGTGCAGTGGCAGGATCTTGGCTCACTGCAACCTCTGTACCCCAGGTTCAAGTGAATCTTGTACTTCAGCCTTTCCAGTAGCTGGGGTTCTATGCGTGCGCCACCAGGCTGCGCTAATTTTTGTATTTTTAGCAGAGAACGGAGATTTCACCATGTTGGCCAGGCTGGTCTTAACTCCTAGCCTCAAGTCATCCGCCCGCTCTGCCTCCCATGGTACCGAGATCACAGCCTATAGAGATTCACGATCTAATTAGAGGTGTTTTGTGAGCTGTCATCTTGACTGCTCCCGAGTCTAGTGAGAGGAGCTGCATTGCGGGTTTTTTTTTTTCCACGCCCCCTCCCCTCCACCCGCCCCCCGTCCCGTGACCTCACACTTCTTCCTCTGCTTCCAGCCCTAAAGTAGCAAAGATTGCTTCATCTGAGGTTAGTCATGTGCAAAAGTAGGTGCAACTCAATGGCTTTCCGGTTTGAGTGTGAGAACTAAAAGATACCCCTAGCCTTTAGCTTCGATCTGGGAACCACATCTTCACTCCACCCCTGCCTTCAAAAAGAGTCGGCTGACATCTTGGAATGTAAATTGCCTTCCTAAAATAGGAAACGTGGGGGAAGGAGGAGGAGTTACTAGAGGAAAAGAAGAACCAGACAGCTGAAGGATTCGGGGTTATGGAGAAGATAAATAACAATGAAGGGAAAGGCTTTTGTCTGGGAAAGGAGGTGGTGGGGCTGAGGCGAGCTTGGCTTCAGAAAAGGTGGGGTCAAACTGATGATTTGATTTGAAAATCACTGGAAGTGTAACTCCTGTCCCTAAGCCTCTTTGCATACCAGAACCATTTTGCTAAAAGTGCACCTTATTCTCGCCACCACTAGGAAACAAATAAGGAAAGTGTGGCTCAAGCTCTTTAATATATAAAGAGTAACACCTGAAGACTTAGTCACAGAGTCACAATCTTCAGATAGTAGAATTATATATATATATATATATATTTTTTTTGAGAACCATATTTTAATGTAAAAAATTTTCCAAGATGTTTAGACAATTCTAATTCTGTCTGTTGACTGACAAGAACTACTAGCTTTTAAACTTGCACTTATATTATAAAAGAAAATGTATCCATCCATGAATACGTTGTTCTTCAGTTTGAAGAACTGGGCTGTGATTTGGGTTTTGGAATCCATTCCAGTAACGCTACAAACCCTTCCCTGCCCCACTTCCTCTCCTCCATCACTGAGCAGAAACCACCTAAAGGGTGAAAATCCTATCAATCTCCTGAAATGTTTGTCAAAGAGGACGATCCATTAGGAAGAGAAAGTGGAGTGTTTCTCTTTAGAACCCTGAAGCTGGACTTTCGAGGCAAAATTAGGAATGAGCTGTGTGACCTTGGACAAGACAACCTCTCTGAGCCAGAGTTAATCTGAAATTGATACTCACATCATCTTTAAGGTGGCCTGCAGCTTGAATCATAAAATGGGGTGGCAAAGGAGTCTGAAGAGGGTCTCCCACCATAGTTCCAAATCTATTGGCTCCCACTCTTGAGCTCATTTCAGACACAGTAAGAGGAAAAGTTAAGGGTTTGGAAAAAGAAGCAGGGAGTGGGATTTTGAAAGCCTCCCCCACCTCCCCCAACATTTCTGTGTTCTGGATTCTTCTCCCAAACATTGATTGTAAACCTTAGAGTAGGTTGAGTGGGAACTTCTTGGACTTGTATTTTCTTGGAAATGAGAGTTCGCTATGCATGCCAGTTTTCCCATGCGGGAATTCCTTCTTATATGTTGCTGAAAATAGATAGGGTCACCTGATAGACACACCCTACTGTGAAATCACATGAATTTCCTCGAGTAATAATAGGTCATGGTTAAAGAGCAAAACATCTGTCAATACAGCCCAGGCACTATAGTTTCTTTTTTAAAAACTTTCAGAAATCTGTTTAGTTAATTCAGGGTGAGACATTCATACTCACAATTTATTCCCTTATGGTTTTCTTCCAAATATACCATTCTTTAAAACACCAGAGAAATGAGAGAGTTGGTAAGAGTTATAGACGGCAATTTTGGATTCTTTAATTTAGCAAGTTATTAACCACATGCTCTGGGCACCTCCTAACCCTTCCCACTCCTTGTCCCAACACATTCCAAGTACTCTATGCTCTCTGCCATTAGACATTGCTCAGTGCAAGAAGCTTGGGTTTACACTATGCAGTAAGATAGTATAGAACAACATAGAATATGCAAATAACTCCTTGATGTTTCTTGTGTTTTAGGAAAAGTCCTCTATTGTTCTTCTCTTGCTCTCTCACTATGATTTCTAGCAGAGCCTATGAGATTTGCTCATTTCCAACTTCACATCCTTACTCAGCTATTTTCAAAATGACTATGTCTGTCTCCCACAATTGTCATGGTCATTGCCTCTGGTTTCAGAATTGTCATTTTGCAATGTGTGGCTCTGGATAAATATTTGATCTCTGTTTTCTTATAAACTGGTCTGAAATATATCTATTTCATAGCATCATTGAAGAAAATCAAAAGAGGTGAAATGAACACAGCGTCTGGATCATAGTCAGTGTCCAGTAAGTATGAGTGAACGTTCCCGACAAGTCAGAGGAAGGGGTAGAGATTAGCTTTCTTACAAAACTATGGAAGATCTTACCCAATTAAGCTTGTTAGACTGAAATGAAACCTTTCAAAGGAAGGTGGTAGGGCAGTGGTGGAACTGGAGGAAGTGGCAGTTTCTCCCTTGATGAGGCCATCTGTTTTTTTTTGTTTGTTTTTTTTTTTTTTTGAGACAAAGTCTCACTCTATCTCCCAGGCTGGAGTGCAGTGGTGCGATCTCAACTCACTGCAACCCCCACCTCTTGGGTTCAAGCAATTCTCTGGCCTCAGCCTCCTCAGTAGCTGAAATTACAGGCGACCACCACCACGCCCAGCTAAGTTTTGTATTTTTAATAGAGATGAGGTTTCACCGTGTTGGCCAGGCTGGTTTGGAACTTCTCATCTAAAATGATCCGCCCACCTTGGCCTCCCAAAGTGCTAGGATTACTGGTGTGAGGCACCGTGCCTGGCTGAGGTCATCTGTTATGAATTTACAGACTCTTAGCAATGGTAAACTGTTTATTTTTACCTGGTATACCACCGGTTTCACGAACACTATTTAACTGTCCAAAGCCCCTTGCATGTATTCGTATAAAAATTCAGGTCCTGATTTAAATAATACCAACTCTCAAGAAGTAGAAAGAAAGTTCCTGCCTAGTTATTTTGGACTAGGGTAAGGCTAAATTTGGGTACAGTCATTTTTCAAAGGGGAATTTTGAAACATTCTCCCTGAGAGAAGACAAAAAATGTTTTAATTTGGAAAACACAGGTCAAACCCCAGCTGCCTTTGTTTTTGGCTTTAGGGAGTCAGTTGCATGCATCCGCAGGGGTGCAACACTGCTACTTTCAGTCTATACTCATATGACTCATACATACTTATGCATATATACACATATGTATGTATATAGGCATATGAGTATACACTAGTAGGAACAAAACTTCCACAAGATAAATACTACTCACTGACAAACCCGTCACATGCCAAATACTTTAGAAACATGACTTTATTAATTCATCTGGTGCTTAAATTGTCTGAGCATCAGATGAATTAATAAAGTCATTTTCATTTTATAGTCAAAGAAGCAGCCTCCGAGAATTAGCAGTGTCCTCAAAGTCCCAAAGTAGTCAATTGGCAAATAACAAGAAGTCACAGGATTTGAACTTGGGTCTTTTTTTTTTTTTTTGAGACAGTCTTGCTCTGTTGCCCAGGCTGGAGTGCAGTGATGCGATCTCAGCTCACTGAAGCCTCCACCTCCTGGGTTCAAGCGATTCTCATGCCTCAGCCTCCTCAGTAGCTGGGATTACAGGCTCATGCCACTCCGCCCAGCTAATTTTTGCATTTTTAGTAGAGACAGAGTTTTGCCATGTTGGCCAGGCCAGTCTTGAACTTCTGACCTCAAGTGATCCTCTTGCCTCAGCCTTCCAAAGTACTGGGATTACAGGCGTGAGCCACCGCGCCCAGTCTGAATTTGTGCCTGTCTGACCTCAAAAAATTTTTTTCTCTTGCTACCATAATACGACTGCCTCCCAGCATGGGGCTGGAGGCAAGAGCCCTATCTAGTTTATTTTCTTTCCAGCGTCTCATTACTTAAGACCAAGGTTTACACCTCTAGGTGTTCTGAGGAGGACTGTTGATTAAGCCAGTTGAAATGCAAAAAAAAAAAAAAATAGGGCTGATCATTGCAGTCCCCATTTGCACTCATCTGGTATAGGGGCTTTCCAATCTTCAGCAATAAATGAGACTAGCCCTATAAACGGTCTCACGTCATGCCAAGAAGCTAAGTAGAGCAAGCCAGTCAGGCACAGTAATGTGGCATCTCACCCCTCGGAGGGATTTT